TGGAGAGGGAGGGCACTCCCTCATCAGAGCAGGTCACAGTGATGTTATACTCAGAGGCTCTCTCTCTGTTCAAATCACTGTCTGTTACTAAATTATAGAAATTATTTCTTGTCAATTTTAAAATGAATGGTACATTGTCGCTGATAAAGCATTTCACGTTCCCGTTGTCTCCGGAATCTAAATCCTCAGTATTAATCATCGTAACGACCATATTGAGTTTAGCGTCCTCTGAAATCACAGTTGATTTGGACATTATGTTGATTTCAGGTTTATTGTCGTTTACATCGAGAACATCAACAATCAGCTTACACGAGTCTGTTAGTCCTCCATCATCATTAGCACGGAGATTTATTTGAAAACGTTTTGACTTTTCAAAGTCAATGGTTTCAATTAATGAAACTTGCCCGTTTTCCTCATTTACATAAAACATTTTCCGGACATTGTCTAACGTATTTGTGATTGAATATGTTATTTTACTGTTCGAACCTTGATCAGCGTCTGACGCTGTAACAGTAGCAACGACTGTTCCTTTAGGTGAATTCTCAGTGACTGTAGCTTTGTAAGTTTTCTGTGTAAAAACCGGCGCATTATCATTAACGTCTAAAACTGTAATGAGAATCTGCATTGTTCCTGACATCTGTGGCTCTCCTCCATCTACAGCTGTTAACACGAGAGAGATCTGCTCTTGTTTTTCTCTGTCTAAAGGTTTCAGCAGTACCATCTCAACGTTTTTGTGTCCATCGGGGTTACTGTGCAGTTTTAGACCAAAATTTTCAGTTGGTTTTAGTTCGTATTTCTGGAGATCATTAATACCAACATCCAGATCCACAGCCCGTTCCAGGTCGAATTTTGCTCCTGTTGCGGCTGATTCGCTAATTTTGAAATTCATTTCGCTTTTTTCAAAGGTTGGTGCATTATCATTGATGTCTGTGATCTGGACTGTAACCGTATAAAATTCCATCGGATTCTCCAAAAGGATCTGAAAATCCAAAGCACAAAGCGCTTTTTCTGTGCACAGCGCCTCTCTGTCTATTCTCTCCTTGATGAGGAGGACTCCTCTTTCTCTGTTCAGCTCGATGTATTGGTCGCTATTTCTGCTATAGATCTTGGCTTTTCCTGATATTAAACGTTTAATTTCTAAACCTAAATCCTGTGCTATACGTCCAACTAAAGAGCCTCTAGACATTTCCTCCGGAATCGAGTAACTGACCTGCCCGAAGACTGGTCCGAGGGAAATGAGAGAGACAAATAGCAGTACTTGCCGTTTCATTGTTCTTTCAGATTTCTCACTCAACGTGGATTCACAATCTGTATTCCACACAACAGAAGATATGTATTCCAAAGTCAAAACTCAAGTGTATATATTCCGGTCAGCGAAAGCAAATATCTCCAAAATGAAAATCTTTCTTCAGTATTTATCCTCCTTGATCAGAATCGCTCGATCTTTGTGCTCCGTGTTCCCTCTTTATAACGTCGATGTTACATGGGCGGTGCTGCTACAAACATGGTCTCAGTCCTCAACACTCTGGTCAACAGCGGCCCTAAGAGTCCGCACTATAAAACTGCAGAATATCATCTAAAATTCATCTGCAGGACAACTTACTGTCAAATGTGTGCAAATTCAGTAATATCAGCCTACAAAATCTTTAACACTGTCATTTGGACTTGAAAAAAGAACAATCGAGAATTTATTGTGTTTAATTTCGAGTATCACAATAACAGTATATTAGGAAAAAGAGGCAGTAACACAGAACATGATATTGAGTTTGTAAAACTATCAAAATAGAGTGTTGAAAAAACAAGTCAGCCAACTGACTGAAAGAGGAAAATGAGAAGGGAACTAATGCGTTTTCTGAAATACTGATAACTGCGAACAACAAATAAATAAACAAGAACTGAAGACGACAAAAATCCTCTGGTGTTTAAAGCATGGACACCGCCAATGTTCCCTCTAAGCTGCGCACGTGCGCAATTGCGCACTGCTGGCACGGTCTCTGCGCACAGAAAATCTGTGTTGCGCACAAAAAAAATCTAACCTGAATTGAAATTAAAATTAATACTTTAACAATTCTG